CCCAAAGGCCCTACCCTGGGACACCATGAAGGGAGTAGGTTTTCACGTAGCACCTTAATAATAAAACCTAGTTCCAACACGAATTCTCGGGGGACATGTGAACTATAGCAGGCTCCCTGTTCAAATTTTAGCTGTGTTTATATGTAATTTGGGCAAATTCAACATTCAGAGCCCATTTTCTCAACCTTAAAATGGGGCTAACCGCACATGATGGCAAGTCCTTGGAACTGCACCCACTCAAGGGGTTGAAGCAAACGGGTCATGAGTTTGAGGCCAATTTGAGCAACATAGTGAGACTCTGTCTCTGTCAAACAAATAAAAAAGCTAAATAAGGTAAGTGGGGTCAGGGGTGGGGTGGGAAGGAGCGGTAACTGGGGTATAAATGTGCTTTGTAAACCAAGACATCTCACCTAGGCAAAGTTGTATTGTTCCACGTCATGTTCATATCGAGCCCGCTGCTGGTGTTGGGGCTTGATCTGCCCTTGTGCCCTCTTGGTGTCACCAGGTACCCTCCCCAGAGCTCAGTGGGATAGGAAGGGGGCAGGAAAGGCAAGATGACTTCTCTGCTTTGTGTCCTCCCCTCTGGTTCCCAGGGGACCCTGTCTACTTGGACAGCGAACCCCAGAGGCAGGAGTATGTCGTGAATGACTATGGCTTCATCTACCAAGGGAACAAGAACTGGATCCGCCCGTGCCCCTGGAACTACGGACAGGTGAGTCTCTGCCCTGCTCGTGGCCCATCCAGGCCCTGGGCTGCTCAGAGGGACAGGGGAGCCACCAAGCTGCACCCAGAACTGCTGACCCACACTAGCTAAGGGGCCCTGGGAAGATATGAGAGGTGACCCCAGGTTTTTAGAGGAGCAGCCCCAGGTAGTCAGAAGGTCGGTTCTTCCCTGATCATGTTCAATTTGGACAAGAAGATCTATGTGGAAAGGGCGGGCGTCCCATCCAGGAATTCTGCTGAGTGTGAGGGTAAGGATGCAGGGACAACCACCACATGGCAATGAGGGTTGGGGTGCTTCCGTTTGTTAAGCTGTGTTTCCAGCCGGGTCCTCCTCTCCACTCTCTCACTTCTTCCTCACGCCCCCGGCAACAGTCCCTCACGTCGGTTCTATCACACCGATGAGAAATTGCCCCCCAAACAGCTGCCAGAAGGACAGCTCGTGAGCAGCAACGAGTCTCCGTCCCCATGACTACGGCCTCTTTGCTTGACAATGCGTGTATCTTCTTCAGCATAACAGCAACATGTGATTCTTTTAAAAACTTTGCAAAGGAGCCGTGTGAGAGGAGATACTTAGAGCATGGTCATCACCCTGAGCACCGTCACCAGCTTGGTGCACATTCGTCTACATTTTGTTTCCTGCACAGATGCTAAAATGTGATTTTCATGTAAAAAAATAGCATTGTATTAATCCTCATACACCTCAATGCTTGCCCCTCTAAAGGCCTGCCCCTCATTTGACACTCGGCCTGTAGCAGTTCTAGGAAGTCCAGCGCCAGCCCAGGCAAGAGGGTTCTCCAGGCTGAGCCCTGGTTCTGGAGCACCGTCGGAGAAAAGGCTCAGCCATGGGTCACTGAGAACCCCCAGGGGTTCTTGTGCAGCCTTGTATCAGCTTGACACAGGTTCCTCTCCTGGACTTCCTAGATAGAACTCCAACACACACAGCTTCCGGGTTTAACCTGGGTCTAGGGTGACTAGAGACAAGGTGAGATATAGCAGCCCCAAATGGCCCCCACTCATATCCCCACCTCCTCAGTTAGCATGGGCAGTTGGAGGGTCCTGGAGAGCCCTGGGCAGGAGTTGGCTGCCACCTGTGAGAAGCAGGCGTGAACAGTTGTTTTCTGAGCCCTGAGTCCCGCCTGGTCTGTCTGTCATCCTCAGTGAATGTAGATTGAATGCCTACTTGGTGCCAGGCAGGGTGCTAGGTGCCAGAGATAGGAAAATGAAGGAAATGCTGTCCCTGACCCTCCAGCATCGAGGGCACTGAGACACATAAACAGGTTGCTGTTACGCAGTGGGATCTGTAAAGATGGAGAAATGGCACGAAGTGTTCAGGAACCCGGAGAAAGAGCTCTTATTTGGACACGGGGATATCAAGGAGACTTCCTGGGGGAAGAGATGCTTGAACTGAGTTAGCCAAGTGAGAAGAGGTGGGAAAATATCGCAGGTGGAGGGAAGGCCTGAGTGAAGATACAAGGTGAGGAATGATGCGGCCTGCTGCAGGGGTAACAAGGCACTGGGTGCTGCTGGAACGACAGTGGTGGGGCTCGACAGGTAGGGGGGACTCATGTACCGTCTTCATTCTCCGGGCTCTCAAGGCCCTTGAATATCTTAAAGCCGAAAAGTGAACTGCTCAGATGGCCCCTTGGGAAAGCTGGATCAAAGAAGCTCCTAATTCTGTTTATTGTCCAGTATTCCGTGGGAAAAGTACATTCGTTTACACGCGGTCGGCAACGATGTCTAGAGTCCCCGTTGTGTGCTGGGCACGGTGCCGGGCCTGGGGCATAGAGCCGTAAAAGTAGTTGTAAAGGATTGATCTGGAGCTCCCACTCAGGCAGGAAAAACCGACCTTGACTACATTCATTTAACTGAGTCTGATGTGCAGAGGGGCCAAGGCTTCGATTTGAGAAGGTCCTCAGAAGATGTGGCATTCACACCAAGCCTAAAGGGTGAGGAGGAGCCAGCCAGCCTTGGGTGGGAGGCTTCATGATTCACATGCCATTAGCCCAGAGCCCCACTGAATCATGGGTGACACGGCAGTTGGCGCCATCTCCTTAATAGCAGCTGCCAATGATACGCTGGGTCAGCAAGTGAGGGTGAAGAGATGTAGAGGCGGCCTGGTTTTTGCAGAGCATCCCAGGGCTCCAGGAGCGTGGGGTTTGAGGAGAAGGAGGGAGAAATAGGCTTTTCAGTCAGTCAGACTCGTTGGGGTGGCGGGGGGTGTGAGGTAGACAAAAAGAAGCAGTAGTAACCATCACTTCAAAATGAAGAGGAAGGGATATGACTTGAAGAGGACACACATCACGTGAGTTGTGACCCCAGAGCTTTGACACTCCACACCTGCCTGGGAGCCAGTTCGTGACTTTCTGTTTGACACAATTACCTTCCAAATGGGTTTGTGTTCACAAAGACACTCCATTGGAGAGCTGGGTGGGGTGGGTTAAATCTTTCTTTACATACTGCCTCGTGCCAAGCATGGACACCTCCCTACTCTGCATCCCCTCCTGCAGTTTGAGGAGAAAATCATAGACATCTGCCTGGAGCTGCTAGACAAGAGCCTGCACTTCCAGATCGACCCAGCCACAGACTGTGCCCTGCGGGGAAGCCCTGTCTACATCAGCAGAGTGGTGTGCGCCATGGTGAGGTCTTTGGTGCGCCCAGGGACCAGGGAAGCTGTGCAGGGGGAGCCCTGCCCACTCACAGTTGCCCCTAGTAATGGGGGAATGAGGAGTCCAGAGGCAGGGGCCCTCAAGCAAAAACATTTTGGATGAGACTGATGCCAGACGGTGGATAACATGTTTTCTCGACTGAGCTCCGAGATAACTGGGCGTGGACCATCACCTCTATTCCAGCTTGCTTGTTTGGGGAAAGGCTGAGTGTAGCTCTAGTTTGGGAAATGGCCTTATTGTTTCTAAATTTACTTTGTTCTGAAGTTGTTGTTGTTTTAAACGTATTTATTTCTTCCATGAGAGAAAGGTGGGTAGAGAGAGGGAGACAGAGAGGCTCCTCCAATAGGGCTCGGCTAGCCCAACTCTAAGTCATGATTGCACACAGGCCTGGCATAGACAGGGAGACCTCTAGACATGAACTTGGGACCTTCCCTTGTGGTCCCAACATTAGGGAGCATTGCATTACCACTGTGCCATTGCTCCACCCCTCCTGCTGGCCCTGAGGTTTACTTTGTTCTGAAGTTGTTGTTGTTTTAAGTGTATTTATTTCTTCCATGAGAGAAAAGTGGGTAGAGAGAGGGAGACAGACAGGCTCCTCCAATAGGGCTCGGCTAGCCCAACTCTAAGTCATGATTGCACACAGGCCTGGCATAGACAGGGAGACCTCTAGACATGAACTTGGGACCTTTCCTTGTGG